CACTTGGTGTGGTGACTGTTAAATGGCTAGAATTCGCATCGTTAATTTCTGGAGTTTCATCACGGCCGTTGGATGCTAGTATGAGGATTGTTCTAACATCTGACCCACCGACCTTGGCGATGGGAACAGTGTCCGCCTGTGCGCTCCTCAGGTGGCTAACTACTCCGCCTGGTGAAGTCTCAGCACCCAGTATGGAAGGGACAGGTCGTTACACATGTTAATAAACTGAGAGTTTTAGGATATCGGTCAGTATCAGTCACTATATTTGAAGTAAACGACAGAAGCCCTGAAAACTCCATTTAGAGGGTACAGATATAAGGGAAAATAGGTAAATTGCAAAGCTTGTAGTTTTAGTAGGGAGAATTCATAAATCTAATAATGTAACATAAAGGCGAAAGGGGTATTATAATCGCGAAATAATTGCGAAAAACTTTGTTCACCGCATTCGGACTGTGAAAATTTCAATATGGTCTAAGTTTGGAGCACAAAATAGGATCTGTTGAAATCTTGTTGGTAGTATATTTATAGTCATTTCAATAATCCATTAGATCAGGCTTCGGCAGTTCGGGTTGCCTTTCAGCAGGTAAGCATCCAGTTGTCTCTTGAACACGTTCACGGTAGGGGAATTAACAACAAACTCCGGCAAAGAGTTCCATTGGCGAATGACCCTCTGTGAGAAAAACGAGGAGCGTTGATTTGTGTGGCACTGGTAATCATGTCGTCTGAGATTGGACTTGGGTGCCATTTCAAAAAACGTTTCCCAGTCGACATCCAGATTAAGTCCTTTTACCAACTGGAACGTTGCTATGAGGTCACCTCTGTCCTGCCTGTAGTGGAGGGGATAGAGGTTCAAGGCCGTCAGGCGCTACTCGTACGTGAAGTTTTTGAGGCCATGAACAGCCTTTGTAGCACGCCGTTGTACACCTTCAAGGATATCCATATCCTTCCGAAGCCACGGCTGCCAAGCCTGTACCTCATATTCCAGGTGCGGCCGCACGAATGTTCCGTATACTTTGCTAAAAACATCTTTATTCAAGTGTATAAACGTTCTGCGTATAGCGCTCATAACGGACATCGCTCGCGCAGCGGCTTTAGAACACTGCGTGGTGACGCTTAGATCGTCTTTAATGAATACACCGAGATCTTTTTGCACATCTACGGTTTTAAGTGGTTGATTATCCAGGAGATACTGTCGTGGGGGTGCATTTGTTCTTCGCCTCGCTGATACTACGTGCATTACTGCACATTTTTTGATGTTGAATTTCATGCACCATTTCTCGCTCCATGCGTGCAAATTCTCTACGTCCTTTTGTAGTATCTTGACGTCATCTTCATTTTTTATCGCTCTCCAAAGTTTAAGATCGTCTGCAAAGAGCGTTATTTCCGATTTCACTTCCCCTACTAGGCCATTTACGTAGATAATGAATAGGAGCGGCCCAAGAACTGACCCCTGTGGGACTCCACTCGTAACAGGTGCCCATTCTGAGCAGTAGCCGCCCGCAGTGACTTTTTGTCGCCGTCCGTTTAGGAAATCTTGAATCCAGTTCAGAAAATTTCCTCTTATCCCTACTTCTGACAACTTTTGAATGAGGCGCTTATGTGGGACGCAATCGAACGCCTTGCTGACGTCGAAGTAAATGACATCAACTGGATGTCCTTCGTCCATGGCCTCTGACCAGTGTTCGAGTTACGAAAGCAGGTTTGTGAGGCACGACCGCTTTTCGCAGAAGCCATGTTGAACTGAGGCGATGTGACAGCGGAAAGTATCGAGTGATGTAATAGATTTTTTAACTACTTTTTCCATCAGTTTGCAGCAAATGCATGTCAAACTAACCGGCCGGTAGTTCGTGGGACATAGCCGTGATCCTCCCTCGTGGATAGGTACGACGTTTGCCAACTTCCATGTGTCAGGTAGGTTGCCAGCTTCCAGCGATTTTTGGAAGATTATAGAAAGTGGCTCTGTTAATTCTTCGGCTAGCTGACACAGGAGTACACCTGGGATCTCATCTGGTCCAGGTGACTTGGCCGGATCCAGCTTATTTAGCTCTGCTAAAACTAACTGCGGAGTAAAAAATACTGTGCTTATAAGTGGTTGGTTGGCGAGCTGTGGAAGAGAACAGGACTAGAGGGGTGGTTCTGTGGTGTAGACACTTTGGAAAAACTCGGAAAGAAGCTGGGCTTTTTGAAGGCCATCGCTCACAATTATGATAGAAGGCGCTCACTGATCGTGTCACGGTATTGTCATTCTGCCTCTAGTACGAGCCGCTTTGCGGCTGTTGGTTGGGCGCGCGAGAGAGCTCCTGGGCCGCTTTCGTAGGCTCTTGGGCCAATCTAAAGTAGTCTTATGTCGGGGTGTGGTGCATTTGCCGTGGGGTGGTGTCACAGTGGCTTAGATTGTGGTTCCAGCGGGAGGTGCGCTCAAGTGGTCGCATGGGTAGCCGCGACTGTTTGGACGCAGGTATGTCAAACTGAAGTCGGTCGAGTAGCTTCAGGCCAGCGTGTCTGGAACGGCTCACTTCAAGGGGCGGATGACCTTGGGGCAGACTGCGGGGTCCTGATCAATGACGACAGACTGCCCATGATGGCTGCCCGCAACAGACATTGTAAGTCAGTTTATTAAAGGAATGAGGCTTTCAACCTTGAGCTACCTAAAAACTGCTCCCCAACAGGGAGTTGAACCCGGGCCGCCTAGGTGAGAGCCAGGAATCCTCACCGTCCCAATGCCTGCGCGCATACAACCCGGCTTGGGTTGGCGGTTGGGACTGGCTCAACGACTGTTTACTTTTCTAATGGTCGGTTTTAAGTCTTGGAGATCAGCTAGGGTTTGCCGAGCCGGTAGTAAGATAAGAGTTAGGTTTTAAAGGTTAGGTTTTTGTTTAAGCCTCAGAGGCAAAGGCTAGGATTATATTTGAGGTTGGCGTTAGGGTTGAAAATAAGATCCAGGGTTTAAACAGAACGGTTAGAGTTAGCGTTAGGCTTAAGGTTAGTATTGCGTCTAGGGTTATGTGCACTTTGTGAATCACAACCTCTTCGGGGGGAGGTAACTCAACCTTCGTCGGGTGGTCGGCCAAGTGGACTTGCCGTCGGCTTTTGCGCTTTGACAATGGGGATTCAACAAAGCTCCTCGAAACGTCAACACCTACGTAAACGCGTTCCGGTGAGTCCATATTTTTCTTCAAAAAATCAACCCGGATCTCTCAACTTTGCCAATCTGTTGTCCTCACTCGGGTCCTGCTAATCGCTTTAAACTTTATATGCTTTTAAAATAACACTGTATATTTCAAAAATTTGGTACTTATATATTACTCCACTTTTTTATTTGATAATGTGATCTTAGTTAACCTTGATCCTCCAGTTGAAGAACTGTCTAAGGCACTATTGGTCAACGGGATATTGCCGCGGCGGATGAATTAGTCTATGCGGGGTTATCGGCCTCAACATGCAGCTGAACGCCCAGAAAACCACAGCGTTCAGCGCGCTTTGCAGGCAAATATCTTCTCCGACTTTGGTTACCCACAGTATCTTCTGCAACATTTTACACCCAAAATATAAAAATCTGGTGCTTGTTCGCGGAACAACCATTGAAATCTATGAAATAAAAGAGACTAGGTAACTTGTAGTAATCACTTTGTATTGTCTAGTAATGACTTGCGACTAAGTTTCGTAACATCATCGATGCTCTATGAGGAGATCGAAGACATCGTTGTCGTCAGGTTTTATGACCATGATATGGATTCTCTGCTTCTAAGCTTTAAGGAGGCTAAAGTATGTGCTTGCCATTTTGATTTTCTAATTTCCCTAGGTCGCCGCAATGACTTTTGATATCCATACCTACGAGCTCAAAACGTGTTCTCTTCATACATACGAAGATCTATCACTTAAGGTTCGCCTTTAACTTTGATTTCATTTCTTGATGCCCCCTTATCT